AAGTAAATATATATATATATATATATATATATGGGGCATTCCATCAGAGCAGCTCTGTGAAGTTGGCACCCCTAATTGCGAATTTTGATAAAATCATTATTGCATTCGTTTGTCCACTGTTTGTCCACGTTTGTCCACCCATTATTTTCGTTTGTCCACCCTATTTTTATTGTATTTTTCATTATTAAGAAAAATATAATAATAATAATAATAAATAGTAGTAATAATATAATAATAAAATCCAAAAGTTTTCGAGTGGCACACTTGTGGGATGGAATGCCCCATATATATATTTATTTTCATCCTTTTTGATTTTTATTTTAATGAATATAACTTCTATAGAACATTTTCATTAATTTTTCTATATTTTCCTAATGTTCCATCATTTTATTACCTCAACTATTCTTTTTACAATCTTTATTGTGCATAAGTTTTACTTGTATTTCTATTTGATAATGACTCGAATGAGTGAAGATTTTCGAAAAGGCATTAATTGTCAACTGCTATGAATAAATTTCTGAGATACAGTATCACAATTGTAATATAAATAAATATTGTTATCTCTTATACATATTAAAACGTAACATAGCTTCATTTTTTTATTTATATTTGTATGATAAATAAAATGGCCAGGCAAGATAATTTTTTCGAGATCAAAAATTTTTTTTATTATTATATTAGTTAAGGATTAAGCCTCTCGCTTATCGTACGGATTCGTTCTAAGAAATGAGAAATACTTGCCTGGTAGAAGGTGAGTCTTCCTTACTTCCTCTCCTAGCTTCAGCGCTACGAGCAAGAAGAGGTCCAATGTCAGTACGCGCCATGGCGGATTCGCTTCTCTGACGATCTTGAGAAGTAGCGGAAGTCGTAGTTGGAGTAGTCTTGGACGGATGACCATCTGTTTCCGACTCTTCCTCTGTGTCCGACTCCGTCTCCTCAGAAGAGCTGCTTGTTTCTTCGTCTTCATCCTCCTCTTCTTCCTTCTTCTTTGCCACTGGTTCCTCACGCGGCGTCTGAACCGGCGGTGGTGGAGCCGCACGGTTACCTAAAAATCCAAGAATTCATGTTGATGTCATTTCCATTTTTAATTTCTTGACGTAATTATAGAATTTAATTCACACAATTACGATAAATCTTACATTAAGAAAAAAGTATTTATAATAGTATTTGTGACCACAATTGCTTAGTAAAATAATCATAATTAAGGAGCATTTTTATTATTACTATGTTAGTAATTTATAATTTTAAAGAATACATATATAGTTAGCAATCAGTATATATTTCGTAATTGATGATAAATGATATAACAGGATTCAACATTAGTCGCAAATCAATAGCAAGCTTTTTGCAAATATTCTTGACATTTCTGATTGGCTGTTGTAACAAGCGTACATAAATTAATCGATTTACGATTAATGTAGATCGAATCAGCTTAAAAAGTAACATTTAAGCACCTTTAATAAATATATTTTAAAGTTTTCTTTTCATCTTGTGATCGAAATTATTGTACACTATACAGGAAAATTAGACTTGGTTTTAATATTATTATAAAGAAATATCGTAATATTGAGTTAAGCAACACAGATAAAGGATATGGTGAGCGACAAGCGGTGAGGACCTGTCGCGGTGCATAGGAATATGCTCAGGAAGAGGGTTGTCTTTCCTTTATGTCGTCTACATGTTCACAGTTGACAGAAACAAGATGCGAAAGCGAATTGATCATATCGACCAACGGAAGAGGTCGGAAACAAGAGGTAGTAACGCGAATATCGTCACGTCCGCCTGCGTGTCTCGTTTACGGCAAAATACATTGCTTCCCCGTCTTAACGTGAGTTTCAACGGGATATGACAACCGGGATACAGCGTCGGAAAAGCGGAGCGACAACGTTAACTAAGAGCGCTGAATGGATAACGTAATTATCGTGCCGTGTACTGCTCTGCGCCTTTGCTTGTCGGTGGATGCCAATTTCAGTGAACTTTCGAATCTTGCGATATCGCCATCGCGATTACATTTTCGAATTGCAACGTTGCAATTCGTTGCACATTCGTGTGGTGCTTCACGCGGTAGTGTTTTACGCACACCCTTCGCATACTAAATTGTAGGGCGATTGTGATGGATATGCGAACATTCACGATCGAACACGGACCGCCTTTCTACATCAAACCCAATGTTTGTTTGTTAAGGTTGAATCAGGTATAGTCTCTGCAAAAAGTGACTGAAATTGAAAATTTATACTTTCCGTATAAAAGTGAATGTCATATACATACAAAAAAGTAAATACCGTTCGATAAAGTTAATATTTGCATTTAACAACGCCATTTTATAGTTTAAATAAAAATTTTATTATTTTTTATTTTTATTTAAAAAAAAAAAATTTAAAAAATGTGTACTTTTTATTGAAATAATTTTTGACATTCTAAATTTTCACAAATCTTTTTATTAGAATGTTATTTTATCAGAATATCAAATAAATTATTTATTTAAATATTTAACTAATGCCAGATCACTGGCAATCTAAAAAATATCATGATATCATTTTACTTAAGTTTATACATTGAAAGTTTTGTTATCGCGTTTCTGAGGAATCGCGGGGTTTTATGTGCGAATTAAGTTTCACGAAGTAGAGGCAGAAGGTTAAACGCAAATTTTGTCTGTACATTCAATTTTCGCGAGGTGTTCGACGGAGTACTGAGAAGTACAATACAATAGATGAGCTAGGTGGGATTAGCGTACGAAGCGAGTAGAGACGTGCTTTCGAGTCTCCTCGTATAAACAATGGGTAATAGGCGTACAACGAAATTGGGACGTGTCGTGGATAGAACGGGTTTTAGCTACGAACATGATAAAAGGGTCAACCCTTCGATTACTACACACTGCATTGTTCCCTATTCCACTGCAACATGTAAATAAATTCTATGCACTATCCTGTTGAGTTTAGCGCCAGTGCTGTACATGCATCTATTTAGAATTTAGATGCAATTGTTTTCTCTTTTTGTAATTAGAAAAAGTCTTTTCAGCAAAAAATGTTTCCTATAGTAAAATAGCATCGATATACAAATCTCATCTCATTGCACTAATTATGCTACGCTAATAGCAAAAAGCTATTAATTTCTGAGTTAATAAATATTTTATTATTTCAAAAATATCTATTCTTGATAATTAAAAAAAAAAGATATAAGAAAATTTAGTTTTGATATCGAATTAAAAAATCGATTTTATTCTTCATGCATTCGTTTGCTCATCGTTGGTTCTTAGCGCCAGTGCTGTACATGCATCTATTTAGAATTTAGATGCAATTGTTTTCTCTTTTTGTAATTAGAAAAAGTCTTTTCAGCAAAAAATGTTTCCTATAGTAAAATAGCATCGATATACAAATCTCATCTCATTGCACTAATTATGCTACGCTAATAGCAAAAAGCTATTAATTTCTGAGTTAATAAATATTTTATTATTTCAAAAATATCTATTCTTGATAATTAAAAAAAAAAGATATAAGAAAATTTAGTTTTGATATCGAATTAAAAAATCGATTTTATTCTTCATGCATTCGTTTGCTCATCGTTTGTTCACAAATCTTTTAAACTAAGGGTGAGCAAACGAAAATTCCAACTGAGCATTCGTGAGCAAACGAATGCATAAAGAAAAAAATCGATTTTTTAATATCGGAGGAGCTAGTGTGAAGTTGGCCCCTCAAAACATAATTTTCGTATATCTTTTCAACTAAGGGTGAGCAAACGAATGCATGAAGAAAAAAATCGATTTTTTAATATTGGGGGGCCAATTTATATATTACATTCGTATAATATATATAAATTCGTATATTATATATAAATTCATACACTATTTACAAGCACCCGTGATCCAGCTTAGACCGCTGTGGCATTGTCTCATTCGATTTGAAATTTAGCGGTTCAATAAGAATTGATATAGATTATTAATGTTTATAAAGATCTAGATTATAAATGTTTTGTTATTAGAAAAAGTACTTAGAATTTTTATTATTACATTATATTAATTAAGAGTAGTCTATTTTCTCAAACGTAAAATTTATGTATCATTAGTAATACTGTATAATTCAATATCGATAGCATTCTAAAATTTTAAAATGTATTAATTAATTGCTTAGTTAATTACCTGCGCCTAAAAAACGGCTCTGGAACGGCGGTCTGGGAGTCTGCGGGGCAATGCTCGATTGCTCTCTACCGGTTGTGGTGGAGACAGTGGTCGTCGTGCTAGTCGGGGGTGCTCTCGACAGGTACTTCTGTTTCATCTCTTCCGTCGTGAATGGCGCGCCCGTGCTACGTATTCCGGATCCCCCCGAACTCTCGGAGCCGGTGCTCGAGTCCGACGAAGCACTCCTGGCCGCGGGGGGTGCGTGAGTTTCCGAAGTTCTCCTGCGCGAGCAACAATATTGCAAACAAGCATGTTAATAACGCAGAGAACTCGAACAAGTTACTTGTTTGCGCCGTAACAACGTCGCGTCGCGAACTCCGCGCTTAAGTCCGATATAACGCGAGTACTAGCTGACTGCGAATCTCGTGGTTACCGCCGCGCCGGTGTGATTAATATCTACACGAACAAGCAGATCTTCGAGTCTTTCATTTCTTCGAAAGACCATGTTGATTTACTGCTTTAATAAATAATAGTTTTCACCAGAGTCAAGTAAAGTGGTTTTAATGAGTTTCCACACCACGATTGTCTTAATTTTGTAAACACGACTTCGGTACTACGTCCAAAGCAACGTAAAGTTCTGATTGAAGAACTAGTGTGTGTCATCCTACTTATTCATAAATACGTGCACTTAAATGAAAATTTTTCTTAGAATTCTGTACACAATTTTTCAGAATTTTTATGTAAATATCAGACTTCCTGTATAATTTTATAACTTTTTAGAAAGTTTTTCAGATCTTTTATACAAATTAAAATACTTTTCAGAAGTGCCGAGAAACATTTTTTTTTATTAGAATTGTTCATATACGTGAATTTTTAAATATTCTAAAACTTAATCTAACAAGTTTTCTCATTCTGTAACTTTTAAAGGAAAAACGTGTAAAATCTGAAAAAGTTTTAGTTTATTGCTACAGAAATCTTTATAAATTTAAAATATGACAAATTCGTAAAAATGTTTTAAGATCTTACAAGAATTTTTTCATTAGAAAATTACGCATTTGTTATATGTATATCAATTTTTTGTAAAACTTTTTAACTGAATAGTTGTTTCAGCTTTGTTTTGCTTTTTATCAAATAAGAAACATTAAATATATACGAGGCTAAATATTGATACCTAATAATATTTCTATGTAAATTTTTAAATACATCTTTAAATTATACTACTCACCAATTACTATCAGATTTACAATGCAATACAAACTGAAATAATAATCTCACAAATTTTTATAAATTGATCGTCGATTTAATAATAATGCTATTAGCATCTCTTAAAATATTGCGGAGTTTACAAAACATATTACTCCATCAATACCTGACTGCGATTATGTTTGGCGCTTTTCATTCATTTAGCAATGTTTAAATTGTAAGAATTTTTATAACAAAGTTTGACAGATTTGTTCGTTTACCTGACAATAGCAGGTCTTCTAACCGGCTGCTCCTCGGGTTCCCGTTCCGAAAGTTCCCGTGGCGGCGGATGAACAGGGGCGGCGGGCATCGAAGTCGGCTGTCTCTCCTCTACCGTCTCGGTGTGAACGGCAGTCGCCGCCACATTCTTGTTCTGCTTCTTGATCCTTGAGATCTCGTCGTCCTCGCTGGTCTGTCTCGCCATTGCGGTCGGTACCTTTCTCACTTGTACCTGCGCGTCAAAAAATCACTTATGGCGAGAATTACTGCGGTGTTCCGCTACATTCCACCACGGTATAATAGCGATCGAACCTCGCTCAATTCCCTTCGTGATTTGTAATCCGAATCATTCCCCTCGAGTAGCCGGGGGGTTTACGATCGGGGATGTCCGTTCGCGCCAGCCGCTCAATGCGCCGAGCGATTTATTGGGGCCGCGAAATCCGCACGTGCATTTAAATGCAACGTTATGACACGTACGCGACAGGTGGCTAATACGTGAATCGGCACGGTAATTACATGATACGCCCCGCGAGCCCCTCGCGAGTACGATAATAAGCAGGTGTGCGTGATAAGGGATTGGGTGGTGTAATGATGAAACATAATAATAAAAGTGTAAAATTATTGTATTGTTACCTTACATTCGCAGTATTTCATATAAAATACAACGTTCGATGATATAGGTCAATTCACTCGATATATTACTCCTTCTCTCTATCACTACTGTCAATATCCTATCTATATATCACACGTATTATATTAGTTATTGCTCTATTGATATGCGCGAAATCATAGAAAATTGACGCTATATATTTCACATAATGATTGGCACTTTGTTGACCGCATTCGTAGGAATGACACTCATTTGTCATCATATATGTAGCACTTCATGTAAATCATCGTGGACTAAGATAACGATTCTCGTTACATGTACGAGTTAATGTTTGTGTTTGTACGTTCATTGAGCGTTTTGACATCAGCCGCTATTCATCCGAACAATGGGATGCGCGACATCGAACAATTTCGTTCGTTGCACTGGCCGTCAGCATGGAGAGTTCGTGCGCCCATCCATTTATTTCTCCTGCCATAATAAGGGATTCCCTTGCGCAAAAGTGCGGAGGTATCACTGTCAAAAATAAATACGATGTTGTCAAATTCACAAACACCTATTTAAGTCGTAATCTTAACACGAAAAGAACGAATTTGCTGAAATATCTAAAAATTTAACTACATATGTACAGATCTAAAAATTATTTTGTTGGACCTCCAACATAATTAAAAATAATTAAATCTCAAACATGATGAATAATGTTGCAGAAAATATTGACATTCTAGCATCTAGATCAGTTTGAGATTCTTATGTAAGACGTTTAAATTGGTTGCTAAAATGTCAAACTTTTTGGAATATTGCTCATTATGTTTGACTTCCCTACATAATTATTTTAATGGTTCAACAAAATTATTTTCAGATCTGTATTTAGTTAAATTTTATATACTTCAGTAAAAGTCCTTTCCATGTAATTAATTAATTATTTAATTATGTAATCATCCATTGTTAGCTCAATATCAAAATTTATAAATCAAAGATTCGTGATTTTTTCAATATAATAATGTTATATCATAATTTATATATTTTTTCAAATTTTCTAGTCTTATACATATAAATGGAAAAGAAAGTGTAGAATTCGCGTTAAATGTGTTTTTGTCCAAAGATATATTAACGTATTTTAGATTTTTGTGTTGCGTATTATTAATATCTGCACTATAAAAAAATATGTAAAATTGCAAGAATAATATAAAAATTATACAATTTATAGTGAAAATATTTAAAATTGAAATTTTTACAAAACGGAAAATTACAATAACAACAGTATATTTTATAGTTTTTAAAAATGTACAAAAGTAAAAATTTAACAAAAAATATTATATATAAAAGTATAGTATCACACATATAATGTTTTTACATTTGTATAGTTTACACAGTTTAAAAAAAAAGTGTACGTAATTCGTTGGTAAATTATTATGTAAATATTTCTATAAACTTTAATTTAAATGTAAATTTATTTTTGCAAATTGTTTAATTACTATAAAGAATAATTTTATTTGTTTGTTATAAATAAATAAAATTGTAACTTATATGTGTGTAAATATACATCTGTAATAGTGAGTCTCAAAATTAGAGTTTATTATAATTGTTGTAATTTTACATGTATTTTTTTAGAGTGTGCATGTTATCAAATTACAGAGACCTCAGTATTTTTCCGAGTGTTTTCTAAAAGTGCGTGCAAGACTGATTAAATAACATTTACTGAACACACTCGTAATCATAAATTAACTGTATCGTTGACGTTTAGTCGTTTAAATATTGATGCAACACGGTGATATACGATATATCGATAAGCAGAGAACGGTGATTAAATTCACTGATACGCTTTTCTGTAGAGGATGTACATTTTTCGGGGTAAAAAAAAATTATGCAGGTCAGAGGATTTGCATATAGATGCTGAACGATTGCTCGATTGTTCGATTCAATCAACTGAGCTCCGTGCTGCATCAACATTTAAAATATGAATGTCGAGGGAGGAAAACAAATAGGTCAATGATGTAACCATGTGTTACATCGATAAAAAAACACGGATGTCCATCGAGGATTATATGTCGATTGGTACGGATCTATTGATGCGTATTTTTATAAAATTATTGTTCTCACGAAACGCGAAACAATGTATCATTGTATAGCTTTTATCAACAACTGCGTTCATATATTCTTCAGTATTATCTCTACATCGTATCGTTATAATTTTGCAGGGATTTTTCGGTTCGAGTACACATTACTAAAATAATGACACTGCGCTAGGGGCAGTCACGTTTTTAATGTGAAACCTATCATAACAGCGGATGTTTATGGGAGGAAAGTAAATCGATATCCCAATATAAGAACTGAGCGACCTAAGATGGTTTATATACGAAGGGTTGAGAGAGGCCTTATATAGAATTCATATATAACATAAAAATGTATTTCGTATGCATATAGCAAATGTATCTGGATTACGCTGTCACCTTGAATTTTTATTAGCAATGAAAGCTGTATATATTTATGACATGTATAACAATTTTTTATTCCAGAACGTACGCGTTATATGTATGTTTAACGTCATATTTTATTTCGAGATATTCAACGTCGCGTTGAGTTTGCCCAACAAAACGTACTATAATTTTAAATATTTGTAACATTAATAATAATCTCGACTTTTATTTGACAGATAATTAATTATTTAGGTACCATAAAAGTAAAGAAATATGTAGAATGTATGTATACTTACCAAAAATACAGCAATTGTATTATTCTCAAACTCTTGTTAACGAATCACCGTATTAAATGCAATTCGTGCAAAACAATATCATTACTTTAATCGGAAGCAAATAAACTCTTCTTCACCGCATTTAATTCTATCTAAATATTAAATACATATTGCTTTCGTTCGCAATTATCACAGGTATTTTTTTTTTATAAGGGTAATGTATTATATACACTATCTGCTAAATAATTTCAATTCAACAAGCTAGTTCAGAGCTAAAACAGATTGGATTTTCTGCAAAGTCTCATCTAATTAATTAATTTTCAAATACAAAAACGCGACTAAATTGAAATTTTCGATCTTGACCCACTTTAGCTCTGAAGACCTTAATATTTAGGCTATCAGAAATTTGCTGTTCTAACCTGCGGCTTAGGCGGTTGTGGTTGCGGCATGGGCTGACTAGCCGGTTCCTCCTTCTTTCGCTTGCCGGCCCGTTCGCACTCCTGTAGCTTCCTCATGACTCGTGGCGAGTCCGTCAGGCGAAATATACCGGACAACGGACCGCGTGCAGCATCCTCCGTGTCTAGAACGCGCTCCCGTAAGCTGGACGACTCCTGCGGCGTCGTCGATGTGAATCTCACCGTCGATCTGGAGTCACCGTCAGAATCGTCACCGTCCCGATGCCTCATAAATCGACTCCTATACCTGGATTTGTTCCTGGGTACCTCGTACTCCGGTGCATCGTACCTGGCATACATATACACACACACGCATATACTCGCGTACTGCGACGACGTCAATTAATTAAGACCGTTGCCGAGAAAGTAATTCTGGATCTGGAGAAATCACCGACAGTGATTTCTACTTACACCATTTTCAATTCACTTTCACGAATAATTGAAAGCGGATCGATAAACTATTATTGGAATAAATACCATCATAATTACATGTTTTTGATCATTTGAAAAATAAGAAAAGAATCTTGATCATTTATGGATAACTTTAACTGAAGATGACTTAAAATAAGTCGAAACGTTTTGCATTGAAGATTTTATTTGAATAAAAGGATTTTTTAAGGATCGGACTACTTTTTGTTTGCGACCCAACAACATCGCTGTACTTTCATTCGCCTTTGCAGAATTTGTTTATTGTTTAAAAAAAAGAATGTTTCTTATCTAATTAATCTTTAATAATTTGTAGTAAAATTTTACGACAGTATTTTTCAACCCTTTTCAATTCGCGGCACATTGTAACGAGCTAAATTTGCTGAGATACATCATTAAGTGCACACGCTTCATTACTCAACATAGGTCTTTTATTAGATACCGGTACACAATTCAGAAATAAACAATAAAGTTTTAAAGTATGTATTTTTTTAAAAAGTGATTTTATTTGAAATATGATATCGCTACTTAAAACTTAAAATGAGAGTGAATACACATAATATAAATTTAGGTAGTTTTCACAATTTTTAAATATTTTTTACTTTACACTCTTTTCATTCACTTTTTTTGTTATTTCTAAATTTTTTCACTACTTTTTACTTTTTTTTTAATTTTTGCGGAAAAAACCGGTTGAAAAACCCTGCTTATGTAACAAAAAATCGAAGCACATCTGAATGAAACATATCCAGATGTGCTTCGATTTATTCCATATTAATCTTTAATAAACGTCGCTCGGTTAACATGCTGGCGAATATGCTTTCAAATGTGAACTTTTTTTTATAAATAATGTTGATATTACAATTTTATTTAATATTATATGTATAAGAAAAAGCTTTAAGATGTCTATCTTATATAAGATATTATGAGACCCAGTGTAAGTAGATGAAGTCAGTCAAAGGTCAGACACGAGTATCAACTTGGATCGTGTGAATATAAAAAAAAAACGCTCTTCTCCCTGAAGACGGATAACAACTTATCATTTTCATGGGCAGATTTCACAAGAACACATGTCGCTGATGTATATCACTTGAAATTATGACGAGAGGGGGTCAATGACAAACCCTACTTAGGCTGGAACGCGACCTGCTTTATAGTGAGATTATCTCAGTTCGATTCGAGAGGATGTTCTGGAGGATTGCCGATGACAGGACGAAATGATATTAGGGAATTTCCATCTTCTATACTCCCTATATCATCTTCCATGATATTCTCCCAAAGCTGATAGGTCCTATCAAATTTTCGCCCTTATCTTTTAACCCTTTAAACATCAAAGAATGCTGTCAGTGCCATACGTAATATAATATTTCAATAGCAAAAGAATATATATGTGAAAATTATTTTAACTAATGGAATGTAATTTGAAAACTAAATTTTAATCGGATTCGTTCGTTAAAATCAATTCTAAGAGATTTAACAGTACTAAAAAATATGTAAAAATTTAACAAAAAAAAAAACTGAATAAAAAATTTTTAATTAAATAACAAGTTTAAATCTAATATTTAATAAAAAGCATCTAATTTACTATGAATCTTGTTATAATTACGCTTATAAAAATTAAAGAATTTTATACGCTGTCTTTCTTCTCTCTTCTTTTTCCGAAATCAATAATAAAAAGTGAGAAAAATAATGTTTTTTTACTAATCAATTTATAAGAACTACGTGACAGTTGTACGCATAGCGAAAAATCAATAGACAGATAGACTTCAAAACAAGATATACACTCATTTTATACAATAATGATCTCTGTCAAAAATTACTAAGAGAATCACAGGATATATATGTGTTAGTTTTTAAATTAAATTTAAAACGTCAGCAATTCGTCGGGGAAATTGCAATATCGCGTTCCACAAAATTCTCTGTGAGAAGTAACCTTGTTCACGGATTGCAATAAAATCCGCCCAAAGCGGATGGCCAAAGATAAATAATTAGATGTGAGCTTTGAGAGTTGACCGCTTTCAGATCCAACGGCAGTAGTTATTAAAAAAGTTGACGTCTTGCATTTTTAAGTGAGAGTTTTAGGAATCCCTCAAACAATTAATACTTTAAGAAGCAACAAACAATGGCTGCTTCTTAAAGTATTAATTATTTCAACAGTACGGTATTATACTGAGAAAATTTATACAATAAAGTTTTTGTTATTATAATAGTAATACTTCTAATTTAGATAATTAATTTAAAACGTTAAAACATTTCATTCTTAATTTATAAATCATGAAATAAAGATTATCAAATATTATTAAATATATAAATACAGAATTATCTTGATCTAAATAAGTCTATATAAATAATTTTACCTAATATATATATACCTCTAAATCTCTCAATAACGTATAAATATTACTTCCTACAGTTATATGTATAAAAATATCATATATGTATATAAACGTATGCATACGTTTTATATAAAATCTCTTGAGTTTTTAATCCGTCTATCTGCATTTGCACTATATATTTGTAGTATCATCGGGTATTATCGATTTTAAGCACTTAACCATTTAGCTACATTTCCATGATATGATATCAGGCGTTGTCACGCTTCAAAACGCTGGCAAAGTACACACGCCAGAAATTCCGACGGCAATAACGGTCGTTTGTATATTTCAGTTTTTTCACGCGACGCAAAAAGAGAGCGATTGAAACGCGCGCTTTTCAGAACGTATTGTGAAAAAAAAAGTACGAATAATGGAATTTTCACTCGAATATCACAAGGCAAGTGTCAAAAATAAACACCGCAACGCGCGCACGTTTCGCGGACAGTGAAAATGCATCGCACGAGATTCATTTACAATTCGAGCGATATCTGGTTCGTGCGTGCGATCGACAAATTGATGAGACCTTCACCACGGCAAATAATGGTATTTTCTCTAATAATCGCGCAAAACGATCACGATTGACGTAATTATATAACAAACAGAATACAGACGGCAGGCACGAGGCAGGGCAGCCGCGATTCCCGCATGTGAAGTAGGTCTTTGCAGTACGCGAAAGCGTTAATTACTAAAAAGTACGTGCTCGCGCGTACCTGAAGCATTTAATTTACATTTTGACGAGGCCGCTTAATAAAACGGTCTCGCGAGATGTTCTAACGACCGACATTGTACTCATATGAAACAGGCAGCAATTAAACCCGACGCGCCTATTCCAAGTTAAAGATGTTTTTTAAGCGGTTCCTTTGAATAGAAGGAGAGAGAAAGAGATAGAAAGAAAAATAGGGAGAGAAAGAGAGACGAAGAAAATGAGAAAGTGCCAAAACCACACGTATTTATAACTTACGCCAGAATAAACATGCAGGGTATTTGCATAGGAAGTGCACTTTCCTTCGACGTGCTTCAAAATACGATAAAGTCTGTTGCAGGAAATTTTTGACGTTATATAAACTTGTATGTAAAAATAACGCTAACAACGAACAAATTTAGAACATAAAATGTTGATTCCCTTATTAATCCTTATTAATAAAGATAGAGCTCTGCATTACAATTAAATTAATTGTTGATTTTATTTATTTTTTATATATATTGCTTTGCATATTACAAGCTATAATAATATTTTTAAACTTAGTATATTGAAAGAGTTTTGTGGTCATTTTAGTACAAACCTTTTAAAGATGTAAATGTCAATAAATATATTTGAAATCTCTCTCTCCCCGTCCTCTGACTGTCGATTGAAATTATTTTCTGTCAAATGTACCTTTTATCAAACATTGAAACGTATAATAATTAAAATGCAATATTTTCCCTTATATCACGATTTGTTTCATTAAAATTAATAGTTGCTATGGACACTTATATATTATTTAATACGTTGTATGTAAGAGAAACATGTGGAAATTGTAATTTAGAAAATAATTGACATTACGAAAGATGTAATAAAGACTGGTAGCAAAATTAAATCCGGATAAAATTAACATACGTAAAATTGTAATGACTGTTTTAAAAAGGCATCTCAGATTAAAAAGATCTGATTAAAGATATTCGATTAACCCGATTAGTCTGATCGTATCGTAAATACGTCCCTCCCGGACTTTCGAGAAACACTTGCTAGGCACGTACCAATCATTGTTGCGCGCCGATGGCATTCCTGCGTCGTTTCTGCTGTTGCGCGAGTAGAATATTAATACGTTCCATTATCTAACGCCTCGCAGCAAAAAGCTACGGTACCCGTATTATCGGCCAAATCTGTTACACCTTCGTAGCAATAAACAATAAAACTCGCGCGAGTGCCTGGAACGCTTTTATCCCACGGTTCGATTCTGGAAGAAATATATCGGCCACGATTGTACGAGCAGCAAATTGTTCATGGTCATCTTACGGACGTATTAGCGCGACACGTCCTCGTTCCGTAAATAAAATTGCGAATTTTCACGACGGCTGATTTATCGTTTCGAAAACAGACTGAATCTCGGCGCTATAAATTAAGGAGTGACGCTCGATCTCGGGTCGTCCAACGATCCAAGGACACTTCTTGTCTCCATTGACCGTCTTGCAGTTTTAAATCGGTTCCGAGACAAATTGATTTCACTAATAAATAGCGGAAGAAATGGTTTCCTCGTACGTCTGGACATTTATTTTTATAATCTACTTACACTGGTACTGATCTAAAAGTCGAAGCATGTAGGTACCTTTTTTTGAAAAAAGATCTATTTCATACCCAACGGTTTCCCTCCTCCCTAATCGGTATTTCATATTCCCCAAAGTCTACGAAGTACATACATGTATGATATTACTTTCGGAAAAATATATCGTTTTATAAGCTGATATTACGATTGCAATATCAAGAAACGTAATAGTCTTTTGCGGCACGTAGTCTATAAAAAATAAATAAACTGTCACAATAATTTTCTGTAAATCAATATTAAAAGAAATAGAGCATGGCAACGATAGATAAGATTTGATTCGTGTTTGCAAAGACGACTCACGATGTTTAGAATAGCGATATGAAAGCAATTGATTTTTCGCACCGTTAGTAATACCGGGAAATAATACTCGAGCACTCTCGAGAAGAGAGACGTAAGAAGTAGCGATAGTTACTCGTATTCAGGAACGTATCGATTCCTGGCTAGCCGTTCCTCCTCTTGCTGTCTGTATTGCGAGGCGAGACGGTGATCGCTCTTGCTTCTCATAAGACCGGGCGAACCCACCGGTGGGGCTAAACTGCTGGAACTCCCCAGCAATCCGCCGCTTCCGCTTTCCGGTTTAATGTTCAATTCGCCGTAACCCGCCACGTGAAGGACAAGCTGATTCGGATCGTGCGCCATCACGAAGCGGACTCGTCGGTTGTAATCCCCCGCTTCGTATTCGAAGTTCCTACGGAGAACAATCGTCCATCTTCATTCGCTGAGAAATATGACAGTCTGCTAATGCTACGAATTAAGTTGTGCAAAATCGATAATAATTATGTTGCGTATTGTCCTGTGTAAAGTCGAAAGAAATTATGATAGAAATATTAATCTTTTTATCATTTCATTATGTTATATTATGAGTGAAAATATTTTTTCTATCGAGCGCGAGAGAGATAAAGTATGATTAATTTCAATTTTACGTATTTTCAGTTTTAAAATATCGTTTGATAGAAATAAAATTAATTGAAAACAAAAAACACGAACTAGACAATTGCTAACGGCACAATGCCGGGGGCATTTACTCGAATTAAACTTTCCACATGGCGCGATTCCATTTAAATAATGCACCTGAAAGAGAATTAAACATCTTTGCTAGACATTTTTACATATCGGTTTTACATGAAATTTCTACAATAACGCATGCTTTTCAACAATCTTTATTAACGAAACGTATTTTATTGAAGAGTTGCGATCGAGCGATTTTACGTACAGCCATTTTCACAATTAAAATATGCATCCTTCGATGTTTTGTCGCTTACTTAATACAATTATTGTACTTGAGTTAATAAATGTATAATTTTGTTACGTGGCACGATTTGCGTCTGTGATTTACGGCAGATTTTGTGCGCGTTACATATTTCATAATGGTGTTCGCGGTAATGTTGAACGTTAATTACATTAGCTAACGCCGAATTTCTGCTATATTATACTCGCAATACTATTATCACAAATCTCGGCTGGAATTCATGTGGCAGCTGCCAATATCGGCATATTCATTTCGACAGCATTCAAATTACGATCGACTTTTTTTTATTTAAGAGTATCGCTGTTATTCTGGAGATTTATGTTTATTTATTATGTTGCGGTGTATGCTGAAAAGGTAGGTTATCAATTTTTGAACAATTACATTTTGTATCGAGAGGTAGGAAATATCATATTTTGTTATAAAAAATAAATATACTTTTTGCTCAAAATAATAAACAACGTAAATGCAATTTTTAGTTCAAATGTGGTACGATAAACAATCCTGTTAGAAAAGAAACAGTCGTGATAATTTTACGAAATAACGTGGGTGCTATTAAATTAAAATAGATAGAATCGAGGGGTGAAACGTCACTATGGGATCCGAAATTGAAATAAAATAGCTCGCGGGAGATAGGGAACCGTTCATTTAACGATTTCCTTCTGGTCGGTGCCGTAAAAAAAGAAGGCCGCAGAATAGATAGCCGATAATAAATCGTAACAAGACTACAGGGCCGCGCGGGGTTTAACGAGCGGGTGCCGAAAAGAAAAGGGAGATCATACGACGACAAACCTGATAAATTCCACCGTGCGTAGGAAGAGCTCCTTTGTGTCCAGGAGCTCGGCGTCGTCCCATGGCACGTTTTCATTTATGTGCGCCTCCGCCAGATCGCAGTTGCTCTGGATATTCGCGATTTCCAATTCGAGATTCTCTTTGAGCTGAATCAGGCCTCTGAGCTCGGTGCCGAGGTATCGATCGACCTCGTTACGCAGATGTTCCGTACGGTCTTTCAAAGCCTTGCTCAGCCTCCGATAAATCTCGTCCACCTCCTCGGCGACCGAAGCGCAGTTTGTCTGCAGGCCCAACGTGTTTTTTTCCACCAAGGCCAGCGCGTCCTGCAGCCTGTGCAATCCTCTGCGCACCTGAGAACATGTACAACCGGAACATGCGGGTTTGACAAACCGGAAATGCAATCTGTGTTAAGCTTAAGCGCGCTGCGTCATCGCAATTGCGATATCGATTATGCAAGTGGTAAGTGGGCGTGGATAAATACGTCCAATTATCGCTATTATTATTAATGTAAATTTAACGCGTTATTTACATTAATTCGGTCGTTTAGAAATTTGTAACACGGAAAAAAGAAGTGTTTAACCAAACGGAATAATAGCACGACAATAAATGCTTTATATGACACCATTTACATGTTTTGAATATCCTTGTGTATTTATTCCTAATATTTTTGGAATCATATAAAGTTTTCTTTCAATAAACGTTCTATTTTTACCTCTAATATTTTTAGAGAATCATACATGGAAACATACTTTCAATAAACTAAAATTTTAGGTGCTTTTGGGGCAGATAAACGTACTGACGATTATATTTAGGCTTCGTTATAGTTACGCTATGACTGCATGGCCTGGATACCTACATATATGTGGAGGCCTGAATGAATGCAAAGCGGACCTAGTTGAAATAATAAACAGTCTGGACGTACAAATATCTTAGTGCAAAGCTCTAAAAAAGAATTCGCAGTTTTAACGTTATATTACGATCTACGCAGGAACATTACATTTTTATAGGCACATATAAACCAAATGTAATTAGTCCATATGTTAATACGTTATTTATGTATCAGCTACATACATAGACATAAATTAACGCTGACCCAAATTAATAAAGTGTTCTTAAATATAGAAAAATTTTTGTAAAATTTATGTAAATATTCATAGAAAATATCTTCAAGATACAAAATCAATATTAAATAATTCATGATTGTTATCATTATAAATAAAGGAAAGCGCAAAATATAGTTTCTTTTAAAGAAAAATATTGGTCAATAATATAGATTAAAAATATATTATATTATTATCACATATTATTAAAAAATAAATAAATAAATAATTTAACATAAAATGAATTAAAATAAATTTAAAAAGTTGTAATCTATATGTATATTAATCCATTTTATAATTTTGTCTTAACTTTCGTATTTAATTGATTTTTTATGAGAAAAAGACTTATTCTTAATATAGTTAAAACGTCCAAGTTAATTTATTATTATTTTTTCAACAATAATATTTCTAACTTTTTAATCTTCTTAACTAACTCGTATTATTAACTCGTATTATTTTTCCTTAATTGCATTTATATATTAAGCTTAATTAACAGTTATTTATTACACGTTAGCTTTTTTTATTTGCTATAAATTATTTGTCCAAAGATTTTATAGAGTCTGCAATTTATCTCCTATAATTCGTTGCATATATATATATATATATATATATAAATCTTCTAAATCTATCTTATAATAAATATAGCAATAAATAATATTGAAATAAGCTGGAAAAGTTATTGTATTCTAGATAATATATCTCATGTTTAAAATTGAGCAAGCATTCGATGATTGGTAAAAGCTTATCGAAGAAGAGAAAAGAAGCGGAGATGTGCAAGAAGCTTTAATATGGCGAAAATGTATGCGTGGGCTTTGGCGGAGATTTGAATTGGAAAATGCAGACCGGCGGAATATTGGTTACAATTTTGCACAATACAGATATTGGCATGTAGACGGGAAGTAATGTAAATAAAAGAAACCACATAGCTTGAATATGGAGATCGGGATATCTACAATAATCTATTGTGCGGAAATGCATAGAAAAAGTTTGAACTAAATTATTACAATATAATAGAATATAGAAGAAACTTTTACTAATAATATCATGATATATAAGAGGAAAGAAAGGAAACATTTGCAATTATTTCATTCACAAGAGAGAATTTATATAAATATATATGAGAATTTATATGTTCTTTTTCACAAAATTTATAATTTCTATTTCAGTTTAAAAATTAATAATTACGTGCAATCAATATTAATGTAATGCATCTCTAATATAATAAGAAAAAATATTTTAATTAGCTATGCATAAAATAAATTTTTTTTTCATTATTCTCTTTTCAATGATCGATTCATTATTAGCTGTTTCTGTATGCAACATAGAGAATAGTGAACCTATATATATTATCATTACAATGCACGGCGATTGAGAAATTTGAGATACGTCCGTAATTTCACTCAATTGGTATGGAAAGACTCGAAATTAATGGATATCATCATTATCATCGATTTGGATTGGTAGTATTTGTTTCGCGTGCAACTACTGATTCAACCGCAAATATCTATAAATTGGAGGTACAATCTAATCGCAGTATCTAATACTCGTATATCTCTAAAAGAAATAAAAATTAATGAGGAAACCTTCTTTTCGTATTTCAGAGAAACGTAAATGTTACATCAAATTGCATGACCAATGAATGACAAAATCTGACATAAAAGAATTGTCAATAACTATCGAGAAAAATGAAGCAAAATATTACAACAGTTGCCGTGTGATCTGAATATTTTTATAATGTACTTTTATGAAGAAGAAACCGTGTATATAAATTGTATATCGTTAGGACATTTCTTTCCTGTACGACGACGGGAACAAAATCGTGCCGGGTTTACGGAATAAATCCGGAAAATCGTGGGAAAGCCATCCTATTATTCTGCTGGGAGATAGAGAAAAGTGCAAGAGACGTGAATGCATTCACGGAGAGTATCTCGGTACATTAGCATCATAATTTCTTATACCGTGGTGAGGTCGAGTTGCATCGGTGATTTTACCACGTGCTCCATCGCGTTTATTTCACCATTCGACAGGACCTGGCCTTTTACACGTTCGTCTCGAAATGCCGAGCGAAATTTTTACAGTCTCTGTCGTGCGATGCTGAAATTGTATAAATCGGTCAAATCGCAAACGATTAAGATAAACAAATCAAAATTTTTCGACGGTATATTGTGCACGCGCCGGAGGAACACGTGTATACGTACAAAGGTATTTGTTGTTCCCGCGCAACGCGATAATCAATGAAATTTTCCGGAGTACTGGATAAACATTGTATTAATGGTTCAAATTACACACGATAGGCGATAGACATGGTATACCCCTTTCCTGTGCTTTTTATATATAGAATAAAATTCCCAAAAATATCATTCTTTCGATGTATTGAGCGTAAAACAATTTTACGAAGTGTTATACCGTAAATGGAACAGTGTACGAATCCTTTCTAAATTGATTAAATCGGGTGCTATTAAAATAAATAAAATGAACTTTTTAAAGGGGGATTATTTCACACGTTGTTTCGCAAAATAAATATTTAACTCGTTTTTTCCTCTCAGACTACCTTTAGAAATAATTATTCTCTATCGCTTTTTGTATGCACAAAGCACGACGTGTACATTTGCGTGATATTCCGTAATATCTATAAAATCAAATGCAATAAAAATTAATCAAGTATAGACATTTCGTGCGGATCAAACAATAGATAGATATTTTGCTACGTAAATGCCCAAGTGCAATCGCGTGTCCATACACTAATGAGATTCGACGCATTACAAAATTAACTGTGCGGCTGAAAGCCTTGCGACACGGAAGTCCGGTTGTTAACTAATTAAAGCTAGCAGCAGAATTCATCCTATTCTGCCCCAAGCTCCTATCGATATTAGTCGCTTTTCGAAAAGATTTATGGCGCTAGAATGTTTTGTTACACTAAAAAAAAATTTGATTATATCGATAAATATTTACGATTGAAAGCTTTTTTGTGAAATTAAACAGAATTTCCATAATTATCTATATGATTGAACTATATGTTTTTTATGGATAAAACGTTTGATAAACTTAAGAAAAACAAGTTGATGATAACTTAGTGCTCAATTTTACTAAAATTTCTTACTAAAAAGTATTTTATTAAAAAATTATGCTGATCTAATTAAATAAATTTAGTAACTTTATCAAGAAATTTTGATTTTGATGGTTAACAGGAAAAAGTTAATTATGTTCATTTGATATTTTTTTAAGAAAAGTTTTAATTTGTTTATTTTTCAACGAATATATTGGTTAAATCTATCGGATTTCCAATTTATGTCACTAGATTTTTTTTCCAGTGTCACTAATTAAATCATGGAAAATGTACAACGAGCCGTAGAAATGAAATATGAATGTCTGTATACACAAAGAGAGTACGAAACTTGTATTTTTCTGTTGCGTAGTAAATAAATTAAGTAATTAAAAAACTCACGTACATCGGACGTCCTAGATTTTTTGCGTTACCTTTCATCTACGCATTCTATTACCAAATATTATAGCCAATCATTTTTCTTTAGAAAAAATGTAACTATAATATTTTATATAAACGCAGTTTATTTATAATGCTCAAATACTTTTGACAGCGAAATTTTGTAATTAAAATTTTATCAAAGACAGACGCATGCATTTTAAAGTTTCTGTTGACTCACTACTACTCTATCTCAGATATTAGATATCAGATAATTTGCAAGAATATTTATAGTGTATTTCCTCGTTATTGACGTCACGATCTGAAATAATAGATGAGTAAACAAGAGCTTTATAATTTGAAACAATTTTTAAAAGATGTAAAATTAGACATTCTTCTATAATACAACAGATAATAACGAGTTTTTCTGTTATCCGGTCCGCTTTATCGATCCACGCCCACGCTTCTGAATAATCGTGAAACATAATGAAATATAAATGGCGATCAGCATTCTCGAGGAATTTGAACAGGAAGAGCAGACCATATTTCAGACACGCGCACGTGTAATTTCTGTGGCACAGAGAGGACGACCTGACAGATTCGACAGAGCCGTGTTAGCAACTTTGATCATGGAAATATGTTCACGAATCTGCGCACCTTACATGCGCGATATCTCGCTTGTCGAAGCACGATCTCAGTGTTTCTGGACTGTTTCAAAGACGATCGCGCCTCGAAGTTTATTCCGTCACTTGAAATAGATGTGATTCATCGAGGTGCTCCTGGAGACAAACGGCGAATTCGCACTATCTCCGAACGTTTCTCATCCCGATCAATGCATACAATTTGCCTCGCAAAGTTCTTGATGCGGAATCATCGAACGATAAATTTCGGCACGTAAGAGTTATAGCTTCTTTTCTCTCAGTTAAATTGTTATCTCGAAAAAGAATACCTACACCACTTCTATTTTATTTCACTTAAATTTTCTAAGTTTTGGACAAGTTGATTTCTCAAATACTCGAATCTCCAGATACAGATAATAATACTTTATACATATAACTTTTCAAGTACAAGATACGACTGAAATATAATTCTCTCGAAAAAGAATACATCATTTCTATCTTATTTCATTTAAATTTTCTAAGTCTTGAATAAGTTGATTTATCCAATACTATGAATTTCCAGATACAAATAATAATGTTTATGCATTTATAAATTTGAAGTACAAACTATAACTAATATTAAGATTTAATACTTCAGAGCTGACGGGTCGATTAGATCCACTTAATTATACCCCTCTATAGCTGACACTGAGTTTATTGGACTTATTTAATCATATTTTTTAAGTTATATCTACAAATTTGAATTATTGTTATTAAAATAAACTTACTATTCATTCTTTTTGTATAAGTTACATAATTTGAATTTCTGGAAATTAATTAGTGTCAATTAAATAATTTTAGTCAACCTAAATTAAACAGATCCCACAGATATAGTCACTAACTTTACAAATTTCGATCAGTTTTGGAGGGTTAAATATTTGCGATATAAAAGTTTAATGATATAAAAATTAGTTGTTGGATCGCAAGTTTAAGATCTTTTTACTTAAATAATGTGATTTTATTTTGTATTTAGATATTGTACGTGTTATTAAATTCAACTAACGTCTTCATATCGCAAGCCGTTAGTAAAAAACGAAAAATCTAGGTCGCAATCTTGTTACAACGTACATCCCTATCGTATACACGGTTAATTGCAATGCGCGAAGTTGCGCGGCAATAAATTTTCCGTTGGGACGCCGAAGGGCACGACGTAACGAATTTAAAGTACACCCCGATACCGGATACCGTAACACAACAGTTTCCGCTTTCCTAAATGCGTTACAACGTCTACCAACGAACCGAAGAGAAAATTAGTTATAGAACCGGTTAAATTAGTTTTTGCGATCGGCACAGCAAAATTTCTTATCTTGAGATGAGAAAACTTGATTGACAACAGTTATCACTTGCATAGAAGACATGATAAAAAGAAATATCCAGATTCATCGTTTTTCTTCAAGGTTACAATTTTAATATTGATTCGTACACGCACACAATATTGGCTCACCGTGCAATATTTTTGACACATAAAGAAATAATTGATTTATTAAAATAATTGACTAATTTCCTTTATTTTTCCAATATATTTTATCATTATCAACTACCAGTTTCTACCAAATTCTTCCTTAAAATTATTATTTCAGCTATATATGTTTAAATTTTCCCCTATTTTCTAAATTTGCAACAATCGCGTAAAAAATATACATATATCATACAATAAGTTGTACCTGGGAATTAATGCGGGCAATTTCGCGTCTCAAAATATCCATGTGCGCATCTTTACATTCGGGACAGCATTTCTTCTCGCAATGTACGCACAGCTGACAGTAACTCTTCTCAGAGCAAACGCCACAGCGTTCCATGGTCTGACCGCTGGTCGGATCCGGCAATTCTCCCGTGATCTCGATATGCAATTCCAGGAATCGCTGCAGTGTCACGTTGGTCGGAAAGGCTTGCACGCCCTACAAACAGGATGTATGTTCGGCTCGATTAACGCTCGTAATACGTGTATATGCATCGAATATGCCGCTTATTAATGAACCGGAATCGATACACTGTGCGCATAATGTCGCGAATTAATTATGCAACGCGCGCTGGCGTTTCTTTATTAGAGAAGATACTAATCTCTATGAGTGTCAGATGGATGAATTGACATTATTAATACACAAAAAGGATGGTTTTGCTAAAATATCTAAAAATTTATAGTTAGATACAAAGAAAATAATTTTATTGGAAAAATAATTATGTACGATTTTAAGCTGATTGCTAGAATGTTAAAATTTTCTGCAACGTTGCTCATCAGTTGTATGTAGCTAAATTTTTTAACACTTCAGCAAAATCGTTCTTTTCATGCGTTAAACGTGGCTGTTAAATATCATTTACGTATCTACATATAGCTTTTCTGAAATTATTTGATTTTTTCCTCAAAATACATACAATCAGATAACTGATTATGCAGCAATTGTAACGAAAAACATTTTAAAATTCTGTTGCTGCTGCTTATGTAAATACGTTTGATTATTCTGAAAAAATAGACTGGTTCAAAGACCACATTAGCGCACGAAACGCGAGAATACACTGAGTTTAATGAGAATTCTCTCGCGTTTGGACTCATCGTTGAATAAAGATGAGCTTACACGTAGTGGCACATCGGTTTACATTGACACACATAGAATAACATTTAATTTGTGCGACAAAACGTAGATCGATTTTTTCCTGTTCGCTCAATCGTACCGTAAACATTAAAGACATAAATCCAATAAAGCGACACGTAATTGCTGGAGAATTGATTTTGCGGTGAACGACAGCTTGCGCAATTGTATATATAATATACTTTTCACATAACTTATTACTTTGAACGAATTGCGAAAAATTGTTTTTCTAAAAACATGATATGTATAATATATGTAGACAATTTATAAATAACATATATATAATATTTCAATGAGTAATTAATCAAGATTTGAGGCACGAAATAAACAATTTCTTTTAAAAAACAATTTAAAAAGTATTTCTAATAATTCCAAGTTTTATAAACTAATTATGTTTCAACATGATCAAGATATAATTTACCTGATATGGTATACGATGTTCGGCACGACATTCCGGACATTTGACCTGTCGACGAACATAGTCGACGAGGCCGTCCATGCATGGTTCCATACAAAAGCTGTGTTGACATGGCAAGAGCTTCGGATTTCTGTATCGATCCAGGCATATTGCACAAGTTAGCAGCTGCTCGAACTGCTCCATGCCTAAAAAGAAGAAAACTTATTTTCAATCTACCAATGCTTTACATTGTTATACATTGACATCAAATAAGACAAGTACATGTGTTGGATTAATATTCGATCTTTGACACCACGAATTGATTCAACATTCTAATTTATATTTTGTTTTGTAACATAATCTATTTCTATCTCTTTGCCATATCTAAAAGTAAATCTACTTTAATATTAATGTGATTAATAGTATTTTATTAAAAGTTCAACGTTATTGCTAAAAAAAAAATAAACGAATTTAAAGTAAATGTAAAGTTGTCTTAATGCATTTCAATATCTTGCGCAATTCTAACTCGACATCGTCATAGTTAATAAATAGATGATGCGAATATATCGACTATAATCGGACAGTGTTCAAAATTCAAATGCTGCCAGAATCTTATTCATCCAGCCACGTGTTAAGGGATTGAGGAAACAGCAATTTGCAACAACAGTTGATAATATTCTTGCATCAGGCATCATGTGACTGGATCGATATTTATACATTCATACATTCATATGAAAAGAACGGTTTCGCTGAAGCATCTAAAAATTTAGCTATGATATAAATCTAAAAATAATTTTGTTGAATCGTCAAAATAATTGTATAGGACATTCAAACTGACTGAAATGCCAAATTGTTTAAAATATTTTTATCATGTTTAAATATCCTAGATAATTATTTGAATAACATTATCTCTATTTAGTTAAATGATATTTTTGATTTATTTATTAGTAATAAAAAAATTTGACCATAATAATGAAATATATATTTCTGTAATACTGTAATTGTAAAAAAGAATAAATAAATGATTTATTTAAAAATAAAATTTAATTTAATGGTAATTAAATAAGGATTTATTTCAGTAAAATAAACATATCATAAATAAATTTTTAGGTATCTTTCTTAGTGCAGTATATAATTATCTCTCGTGACAGAATTTTTAAAAAGGGCGAGGTTGTAAACATTTAATATAATATAATATTTTTTTATTCATTTTAATATTATCAATTAAACGGTTTTATTAATGATTTAATTTATCTAATCTATATTTATCACCTATATTGTATATGTACCTACATCCTACTTATAAAATAAATAATTTATTATATTGCTAATCAACGGTTGCACATATTTCATAGTCAAATCGTGATAAAAATAATGTTTAAATTTAATGACACGAAAACAATTTCACGATTATTTTTCAATATATTATATATAGTATACCATAAGTGCCAAGACAATGTCAAGATCTTTGTGAAGTCATTGGACTTCTATTTTAAGACAAGATGAATCATCAGTGTAAATTTGGTAGTAAAGAGATGGGAGAACTCAGGGGGGCAACTCTGAGAACTCCTTGCGACGTATATTATGCTGAAACTTTTCGTAATTAAATCGCAGTTGTGGGTGCAGGAAGGAGAATCTTATTTTTCTTCCGATAGTTTGAATACTTTCTTATTTGCAAAAACTCGCAAAAGCTTTCGATGAGAGAAGCTCCGACAATGAGAATAAAAATTATAACTTTAAATACTTGTGAAATTTTGCCCTCTTACTTCAAAAGTAAGCTTAAAAACGTGATTTTCAAGTTATGTATTATCATAAATGAGTTAAGTAGAAAAATTGCCATACCAATCAATAAAATAAAATTAATTTCATTTCATTTAACAAAACTATGAAAATCGTTACAATTCAAAGAAAGATTTTCAAGAAATTGTCACAACTAAAATGGACAATTGAAAAAAACTGTCAACAATTTTACAAGTATAAAACGGAAATAACAAAAATGACAAATGACGTTCCTTTTATCAATATTATTTCATATTTGTTAATAATTTTCTGTCAAGTTGAAAAATACATAATTATCCTTTTTTTGAAAAACTTAATGAGTTAATTGTGTCATTTTGAAATAAAGGAATAACTTGTTATCGTAGTTTCAACGACTTGAGATCATAAATCGTATTCCCAGTTTGACAAATTGAAAAATGACTATATACCTATATAGTCATTTTTCAATATATATATATATATGTATATATCATGTAATTGTCGAAATTTATCGACCGTGGAAATAGTTTCATGAAATGTGACCGTCATGCTTAATAATATTAGATCATGATATATTACAGATCGGCTGCAACGTTCAACTCGAAATGAGTAGAATTGCGGATCCGGAAACCGCGGCAACCGTAATAAATATTTGAACGTCGCTAATGAGTGAATGATTACCAATGCAATCCACGAATTAATTATCGCGCTTGTATGAGGTGCATAGTAGGCGAGATAATCTCGATTAACGCGAAGTGAATGTTTTATTTAACGCTATATTCACAACAAAAATATTGTGTGTATATAGATTTAATCGTAACGTTTAATACAAGCATATTTAAATTAATTATTAATTATTGTAACTTGTTCTTTTTCTATTGCTTTATATTTCCGTCTCTTCCCTATTCTGTTCCCTTTCATTTCTATATTATTTTAAATTAAATTTTCTCTCATTACTTTTTTCTTAGATATCATAACATAACAAAGATATTACATCTATATTCCTTGTATTAGAATATTCAGATGCCTTTATACTATAACATGTTTTTTCGCTATTAGTTAACAAGGCTGCTTTATTAATTTGTATCAAAATTGTTGACTTGGAAAATTGTATTCGCACGAGTCGATATTAAAAACTTTATGAACGTGACGCACGTTACGACTTTGAGAATTCTATAAAAAAACTCACGAGGTCTATATTATTTCTTTTTCTGTTACGGAAGTACTCGATCTCAATGTCAATTATAATTCCATAAGACACAGGATGTCAGATTCGGTTTCCTCGTAAAATATCCAAGGTTCTATCGTTTCAATGATGCCAACGAAAATGTTTGTTAGTTTAGATAATAAAAATATTTAAGTTTTATTAAAATTTTCGAATATTTTCAGGAAAGTAGTAAAGAATTTCTCAATTCCCAATTCTTCTTGGTCGTTAATATTTTTCAATGTATATGACTATGTTTTTTATTAAAATTTTATTAAAATTTTTTTATCTTTATGTCACAAAAAGATATTCTACATAAAATTTTATATTATTAAAAGTTTTTTATATTATTAAACGTTTTACACAGACGCATACTTTGAAGCGAAGCTAATACTTTTTATGCAGATTTTGTATTCTATAAATTAAACTTTCATACATGTTACATTGCATGTCCGTAGCACTTTTTAATCATATATTTTGCAATTAACTCAATTTAACGGTAAATTAAAGATGTATAAATCTTAATGGTACTCTCGATTAATTTGATTTGATCGATTAAATTATTAAAATGCAAAGATACATACAGTGATAACGTTCCTCTTAGTGTAATATGAAATCTCGACGGCGAATAAATTTAAGTAACGCCAAATATATATTCATAGGACGCACACGTGTACGTCAATAACACACAGGGGTGGTTCAAAGAGATTGTTCGAAACGTTAGCGAGTATACGTATAGCTTATAGATGTCGAGCCAAATTCGTTTTAGCTTTCGCAACTCTCTCCGTACTGACGTCGCCGGCGTCGAAGGTCGCCAACATCGAGGACCGATCGCGCATCCAGGCTGACACAATGGCAAAAGCTAGTACATTAGGAAGCATTGTTACTCCCAGACGAACCACTTGTTGGATCTTAAAGCGAACTGTCTCCCCCGCCCTCCTCACTCTTTCTCTCTCGTGTGCATGTTGGGGGTGCAACAGGCGGCGAGCAACTATTGTATTAGCAACTTTCATGGGCGTTGTCATGAGGATGAAACGGGATGCTAATTCTGACACTTTGACTGTGAGCCTCGAAACTTTGTCGAGCAACTTATCCCCTCCCCCCTTACCCCAAAGAGATATCCGCCTACATTATTAAAGTCCTCGTTTCATCAAGGTTTAATTGTATGATCATATTTCGTGGTGGATCATGGGGACTTTCTGGCCTTTCGAAAGGAGTCTCCAGCGTGGTCTAATAATTTCGAGTAGCGTTTCCACTGGAAATTACCGTGAATAATGTTTATGACCGTACCCTATGTATCTCCGAGATCTTTTATGAGACCATTCGTAACAGCAACCATGTCAGAAAGATATAATACCATCTCAGATTTTCCATATTTTATACGTACCATTACCATATCATTACTTTAATTATTAAACTACTATCTTGTCTTACTACAATACATCATATTTCTATAATTAACAAGACATTATGGCCCGTATTCAGAACGCACTTTTATCGATAAAAGCGCGCTTTTATCTCTGAAATTCTATAGTATACGTGACGTAAACTATAGCATGTTAGCGCGCTAAAATCGTTGTTAGCGCGTTCTGAATACGGGCCTATATCCTCAAATGTATTTGATTTTTTCAATTTTAGTATATGTAGACATTGAGGTACCCTTAGAAAAATTTAATACTACAAGTTTGAACTGGTTGATGATTAATTACTTATGTTGAGTATTCAAAGCACTAACAACAATGTTTTTAATACTTAAAATAAGTAATTAATCACTATAACTTACGATATTAAATTTCCCTAAAAGTAGGAAGTAATGTGTGAAACAAGAAAACTTGTATCATTATTTATATAACTTCTAACGGCAAAGACAAGAAATTAATTTGTTAAATATATAAATGTGCAAAATAAAATACGGAATATATATAATAATGCGATATTAATTTCTACTATTGCGCAGATATCAGGTTTGACAGAACACAATGAATGCATCGCGTAATACAGATTCGGAAATTCCGAGTGCCATACTTTCATGAAACGAGGCTGCACACGTGGTGTATCATTATTCTCTTGCAGCAAAATAAACAGCGTCGCGAATGATTCAGCTTTTTCCTTTGTTCGCGTGCGGCAGAATTTGTGAGCGTCATTTCAAAAAGAGACTATTTCAAGTCGTCTTTTCTTGTCTAATACATCCGTGAAAGATACGCGGTGTAATTGAATATCTTAAGACATACAGAAAGAGCTAGA